CTGCCTCTTAAGAAATCTATATGCAAGTCAGGAAACAACAGTTAGAACTGTACATGGAAAAACAGACTGGTTCCAAATCAGGAAAGGAGTACGTCAAGGCTGTATCTTGTCACCCTGCTTATTCAACTTATATGCAGAGTACATCATGAGAAACGCTGGGCTGGAAGAAGCACAAACCGGAATCAAGATTGCCGGGAGAAATATCAATAACCTCAGATATGCAGATGACCCCACCCTTATGGCAGAAAGCGAAGAGGAACTAAAGAGCCTCTTGATGAAAGTGAAAGAGGAGAGTGAAAAAATTGGCTTAAAACTCAACATTCAAAAAACTAAGATCATGGCATCTGATCCCAACACTTCATGGCAAATAGATGGGAAGCAGTGGAAACAGTGACAGACTTTATTTTTCTGGGCTCCAAAATCACTGCAGATGGTGATTGCAACCATGAAATCAAAAGACACTTGCTTGCTCCTTGGAAGAAAAGTTATGACCAACCTAGACAGCATATTAAAAAGCAGAGACATTACTTTGCCAACAAAGGTCAATATAGTCAAGGCTATGGTTTTTCCAGTGGTCTTGTATGGATGTGAGAGTTGGACTATAAAGAAAGCTGAGTGCTGAAGAATTGATGCATTTGAACTGTGGTGTTGGAGAAGACTCTTGAGAGTCCCTTGGACTGCAAGGAGATCCAACCAGTCCATACTAAAGGAGATCAGTTCTGGATGTTCATTGGAAGGACTGATGTTGAAGCTGAAACTCCAATACTTTGGCCACCTGATGTGAAGAGCTGACTCATTGGAAAAGACCCTGATGCTGAGAAAGATTGAGGGCGGGAAGAGAAGGGGACAACAGAGGATGAGATGGTTGGATGGCATTACCGACTCAATGGACATGAGGTTGAGTAAACTCCAGCAGTTGGTGATGGACAGGGAAGCCTGGCGTGCTGCAGTCCATGGGGTCCTAAAGAGTCGGACACGACTGAGCGACTGAACTGAAAGCAGTGGAAGAATAAAATACAGAATGTAATAAAAGAGTAACTCTATAAGGGAACACTATATGGGACTCTAGGGCTGAACGACGACAAGGTAAGGAGTAAAGACAAGCTTGGAAGATGAGCCCTCTCTCTGAGGTTGGGGTTCAGATCTCATTGAAGAAGATATAGCTGCAGAAGGTGTATGGCAGTTTGCAGGTTTGTAGTCGTTGCGGAAGCAGAGCTGGTCCACAGTCACTGATCAAGCAGGAAGGAACCCTCCAGGGTGCAGGTGAGCTGTAGATGGGGGCTGTGTGCCTGAGAGGGAATAGAGGTGCTAGTGCGGGCCTGAGGCACAGAATACACAGTGTCCATGGTGGGAGGGCTGTGGTGTTGGGGGAGTCAGAGGAGACAACCCTGGGAGTTAGCAGAGGGACTGAGGGTGGTGGTGTGGGTGGGAGGTCTGCAGTGTGCAGTGTCTGCGTTGACAGCGCTGTGGGAGGGTGACCACCAGGCTCTGCTCTGGCTGCAAGGTCAACAAATAGTAATGTGGAGCCAGAGGATGAAGACGGACCAGTGGGATAAAATAGAAAACCTATAAATAGCCACAAGGACATATCAGAAATAAGTACAAAAAATCAATAGAATAAAGATGAACTTTAAGAAATTGTGCTGGGGGAGTTCCGTGGTGATCCAGTGGTTAGGATTCTGGGCTTTCATTGCTGTGGTCTGGGTTCAATACTTGGTCAGTGCAGAATTGGCTGCAGTGCAGCCAAAAAAAAAAAGAAAAGAAAATGCTGGTATAGCTGTTTAACTTAGAAGCGAAAGCTGAAATTGGATTTGTAATCCATTCCATATGTAAAAGTAAACTCAAATGGATCAAGTATTTAAAAGTAAAATATGTAACCATATAGGCAACTGAACAACAAGCACCAGAAAAAAATAGGTGAATTCCTCTATGTTGCTGTTCAGTCGATGTCGTGTCCAACTCTTTGCAAGCATGCCAGGATTCTCTATCCTCCACTATCTCCCAGAGTTTGCTCAAGTTCATGTCCACTGAGTTGGTGATGCTATCAACCATCTCATCCTCCGCTGCCCGCTTCCCCTTTTGCCTTCAATCATTCCCAGCAGCAGGGTGCTCATTTTCCAACGAGTTGGTTCATATAACCAGAATTTATAGAAAGAATTCTAGGACTCAGGTCTATATGCAATAAAAGAAGAGAGTTGGTAAAACTGTATGAAAATAAAAATCTTTTACAGGGCAAACAACAGAGAGATAAACAGGCAGACAGATAAAATCAAGAGACAACTGGCAAACTCTAAAAACTGAGGGGAAAATATACCAAAACCCAGAGGAAAATATGGACAAAATCATTGAATATACAATTTACATGAAAATGTACTTTAATAGCCTGTAAATATATGAATAGAAATCTATCATTTATGATTTGAAGGGTAAAAATCAAAACTACAGTTAAAGAATAAGGCAGTGAAAATGGTGAAGGACCTTTGAAAATTCTCTCCTCCATAAAAGTAATAACAGATTAGAGTAAAAAACTTTGAACTCAAGAAATTAGTCACAGACTTGAGACTGGGGAGCATTTATATGAGAAAAATGGCTGACATGAAAAAAACAGCAAGCTCTGTGGTACTTCAGCTTGTCCTGTTTCCATCCATCAAGGCTTCCTTATAGACTTGAAAACTAACAGCCTGCAGTCATGGTGAAAACTAGCAGCCTGGCAGCCACCGTAGAGGACAGAACAAGGTTGGGATTCCTGTAAACCACCCCTTCCCAGAGAACTCTCATTATTTGACCTGTTTGGTGGGTCCCTGGAAGATCCCAGTTGCAAAACTGACAATATTTGACCAGACTCAAAGTTTGCCTGGGGCAAACACCATTTTCTCTGGGGGCATTTATTAAAAATCACTCTAGGTGTTTTTTGGACATCACATCTGCCTGAGGCAGTGGGTAATAGATCTAATACTCCACACACTTCCTCTTAAAAATCAAACAGAGAATTGAGAGTAAATAAAAACACCTCTGGCAGCGCTGGCCTCAGAGGCTAAGGAGAGCTGGAGGAGGTAGCGGCAGCAGGAAGTTGCTGCACTTTGGTGTAAACTGCAATTCATTAGGGATCCTTTCTCAGACTCCAGTTAGAAGTGAGAGTTCACATAAGTGAGGCCGCCATTGCTGATTTGAACACCTCAAAAGGGGAGAATGAATTTATCAGGAGTGAAAAAGAAGAGCTTGCTAGAAGCCAAAGAAAATAATAAAAAGTCCAGCACTAGGGCCCCTTCAAAATTGGGAAAAGAGTACATCAAGGCTGTCTATTGTCACCCTGCTTATTTAACTTATATGCAGAGTACATCATGCAAAATGTCAGGCTGGGTGAAGCAAAGCTAAAATCAAGATTGCGGGAGAAATATCAACCTCAGATATGCAGATGACCCCACCCTTATGGCAGAAAGTGAAGAAGAACTAAAGAGCCTCTTGATGAAAGTGAAAGAGGTGAGTGAAAAAGTTGGCTTAAAACTCAACATTCAGAAAAAGAAGATCATGGCATCTGATCCCATCACCTCATGGCAAATAGATGGGGAAACAGTGGAAACAGTGACAGACTATTTTTCTGGGCTGCAACATCACTGCAGATGGTAACTGCAGCCATGAAATTAAAAGACACTTGCTGCTTGGAAGAAAAGCTGTGACAAACCTAGACAGTGTATTAAAAAGCAGAGACATTACTTTGCCAACAAAGGTCTCTATAGTCAAAGCTATAGTGTTTCCAGTGGTCTTGTAAGGATGTGAGAGTTGGACCTTAAATAAAGCTGAACTCTGAAGAATAGATGTTTTTGAATTGTGGTGTTGGAGAAGACTCTTGAGGGTCCCTTGAACTGCAAGGAGATAAAACCAAATCAATCATAAAGGAAATCAACACTTAATATTCACTGGAAGGACTGATGGTGAAGCTGAAGCGCCAATACTTCAGCCACCTGCTGTGAAGAACTGACTCATTAGAAAAAACCCTGATGCTGGGAAAGATTGAAGGCAGAGCAGAAGGGGATGACCAAGGACAACTTGTTGGATGGCATTAGTTACTGACTCGATGGAAATGAGTTTGATCAAGCTCCAGGAGATGGTAAAGGACTTGGAGGCCTGGTGTGCTGCAGTTAGTTCATGGGGTCACAGAGAGTCAGACACGACTGAGCAATGGAACAACAAGGGCTCCTTCTACCAAATGCAAAGACTGCTCTGATGAGAAGTTGAAAGGATCGCTCTAAAGATAAATGGGCCCCCAATCAGTCAAGCAAGAAGGAAGGATGGCAGAAGAGGTTCAGTGCTTCCGGTGGTAGTAGCACCAGGCCTGGCTCCAGCCACTCCAGAAGTCCCAGCACCTCCCATAGCTCCAGCTCCAGAGGCTCCTCAGGCTCTCCGAGTCCTTCTCAGGGCAGACAGGACAACAGGTGGCATTCATGTTCCAAATCCAAACCACCCAAAAGGGATGGAAAGGGAAGGAAAAGGCAGAGCCCTTCCCCTAAATCCACCAAAGTCCACAGTCGGAGGCTCACCAGGAATGTGACCAAGGGTCACATTGTGGAGATGTTTTCCACCTGTGGAAAAATTAAAATGACTGACATGTCTGCTGAAAGGATGACCCCCATCTGTCTAAAGGCTAGGCTTATGTGAAGTCTGAGAATCTGGATGAGGCTGGAAGGTTCTGAAAGCACATGGACAGAGGAAAAATCGATGGCCAGAAGATCACTGCTGCTGCTGTGCTGGCCCCCTGGCCTCAGCCATCCCCCAGGCGACTGAGTCCTCCCAGGAGAATGCTCCCACCACCTCCCATGGGGTGCGGGCCATCCATCACCCCCTCGGATGAAGGAGGTTGCATCCCCCGCCCTCCACCTGAGCCCCCTGCCACTCGCTCCATAGGAGGCATTCCAGCTCCAACTCCTCTGGATAAGCAGGGCCACCAAAGTTCTGCCCCTGTGACTTATATCTCATCCAGCTCACTTTTGTCACTTTCCCAGCTGAAGGAGGATCCGTACGAAAGAACGCCCTCCCTCCCTCTGAGGCAGGCTTCCAAGGTGAGGGCAGCAATTGAGATGTTTCCCAGGCCATAGGGTTCTGGCTGCAGAAGTGTTGTTGGTTTGGGATAGTGCTTGTAAAGACGCAAGGATGAGCAGAGGGCTCTAGGTGGTGGTACAGTCCCAGCCTGGGAGCATGTTTCCCCATTCCACAGGTGACCTGTGGTCTATCTGGTTATCTGTGTGGCAGAGTCCCGCAGGAAAGGGAGTGCCCAGCTGCCTTTCCTGGTAGCCTGGCCCTGCTCCCCTGCCGAGTCCTCTTCTGACCTCTGGATCTAAATACCCTGTTATCTGCCCCAAATGGTTCTTTTCACATGTATTCGCGTGCATGCACACACACATACACACACAAACACACACACACAAGTCTCTCTCTCTCTCTGAAATTGGTAAGTTGACAGTGATGACTGCCTGGTCATCACAGAACTCCCTGTTGTGTTGGTATTCATGGTATTGGTGCAGGTTACCTTAGCAACATGTACATTGCTTTTTTGGCTTTTATTGTACAGTCAGTACTATGAATTTTATGTTTTGAGTTTTGTAACTTTGCAGCATTTTAACATTGTGTTTGTACTTTGTTGGGCAGAGTAAAAGAGTTCTGTTGAATAAACGTACAATTAGAGAAGGCAATGGCAACACACTCCAGTATTCTAGCCTGGAAAATCCCATGGACAGAAGAGCCTGGTAGGCTGCAGTCCATGGGGTTGCTAGGAGTCGGACACGACTGAGCAACTTCTCTTTCACTTTTCACTTTCATACATTGGAGAAGGAAATGGCAACCCACTCCAGTGTTCTTGCCTAGAGAATCCCAGGGACGGGGAAACCTGGTGGGCTGCGTCTATGCGGTTGCACAGAGTCAGACACGACTGAAGCGACTTAGCAGCAGCAGCAGAATGCAAAAAAGAGAGAGGGGGCACCCTAGAAGACAGTAGTGTTTCCAAGAAGCTTAAGCAGATGATGAAAGAAGGAAGGAAATAGCTCAGAATAAAGATTCTACTTAGAGAAGATCTAAGAATCAGAGAAAACAACCAGAAATAAAAGTGCCATGTACTAAAGAAATAGCTGTACATTGTGCAAACAAAAGAGGACAGTTTTGAACTGAAAATTACTTTTAATACCTAAATTTCCCCACCTCATACACCAGAAATTCCTTTCAAATAAATGGTCCAGAAAAACCCAACACATTCTAAACATAAACAAGAAAAATCAAACCTTGATACAAAGATACAATGATTGTTAAAGGTGAGAAATAATTATTTTTGTCAGACAAAGAGACAGTTAAAAAGTCCCTCTCATGTGCTTAGTTTCTCAGTCATGGTTGGCTCTTTTTGGCCCCAGGGACTGTAATCTGCCAGGTTCCCCTGTCCATGGGCTTCTCCAGATAAGAATACTGGAGTGGGTTGCCATGCCCTTCTCCAGGGGATTTTCCTGACCCAGGGATCAAACCTGGGTCTCCTGCGTTGCAGGTGGATTCTTTACCATCTAGGCCACCAAAGAAGCCTCTGGAAAGTCCCCAGCAGAGGAATGTTGCAAAAGAAGAATCCAACCTGAATCAAATACTTAAATAGGCAATTGTCAATATGGGGGAAGGGGATCACAAGAAACAAGGAAGCAAAAACACAGAAACGGACCAAACCAAAGGAGCATATAAAATGTAGCTTATTTACTAAAGCAGGAAATAGATTGAAAAAGACAAAGTGATCTCAGAAATGAAAATTAAATTATAGGGTGTCAGTGAGAATAAATAAGATGGAAATATAATAAAGGATCTAGAGAACAAAATGAAAAGAGCTCTAGTGCAGAGCCAGGGCTACTTTCTAGTGTTGTCTAGGCCTCTCACCGTAGTTGCTTCTCTTGTTGCAGAGCACGGACTTAGAAGTTGTTGCCCCAAGGCATGTGGAATCTTGCCGGACCAGAGATCAAACTTGTGTCCCTCACACTGGCAGGCAGATTCTTAACAAAGAAGTCAAGGAACTAATTTTTTAAGATTCTAATTCAAGAAAACATTTGATGTTAAATAGGATTCATCTGCATATATTTAAAAGGCACCATCTTTACCTAGAGAAATCAACTTAGTACAGTTAACTCTGAGATGTATCCTCATAGAATTCTTAAACTTTAAAAAGTAAAAAGTAATTCTTCCATAAGCAGAATTTTTCTCCTTTTCTTGAAGCAGAAAGACTCAAGTGGAAGAAATCAGTTTGAAATTATATTCTTGACATAAATAATCAGTAAAAACAACAACAAAAGCAACACACACACAGTGGAATAGCACCTACACAAGGAAAGAATTTGTGGAACGCTTTAGCTATAACATCAAGGCTGTTGGAAAGCAATTTTAAACAGGCCAGAATTTAGGGAATATTGTTCCCATTAGCTCTTCCTGAAAGGAGGTAGAGATTGAGCTGCAGAGGAGCGAAGTTTTCTTATGTTTTTGAAGTTAAGCTAGTATAATTTCAAATTAGAGTATAAAACTCTGTGATGTGAAGCATAGTCCCTGTGGTAGGCACAAGTTAATGGCTATACAATATATACAAAAGAAAGGAATTAAGCATACCAAAGGTCAACTAAACATAAAAGAAGACAGTAATAGAGGAAGTGAGGGACGAAAAATACTATGACGCATTTAGAAGAAAACAGGCAGCAAAGTAGAAGTGAATGCCTTCTTGGCAGTAATTACTTTCACTGACCAAACACTCCAAAGACAGAGGTTGGTAGAATGAAGTAAAAAAACTTGATCCAACTAAATGCTGTCTACAAGAGAATCCATTTAGATCTAAGTACACAAACAGGTTGAAAGTGAAAGAATGGAAAAGATAGTCCCCACAAATAGTAGCCAAAAGAGAAGTAGCTATGGTGATAGTAGACTTTAAATCAAAACAGTTTACAAGAGACAAAGTACTTTATTACATATTTTTTTTAAAGTTTCAATTAAAAAGAAGGTAATTATAACTACAAACATTTAAGTACATAACAGACCACCAAAGTATATAAAGCAAAAACTGAAGGAAATGAAGGAAGAAACGGTCCTACAATAATATAGTTGGAGATGTCAATACCACACTGTCAATGATGGATAGAACCAGACAGAAATTAAGTAAGAGAACTTGAACAACACATAAAACCAATCAGTATTAACAAGAGAACCAACAACAAAATAGACATTCTTCCTACCTCCACATGGGACATTCTCTAATACACACAATTTAGTAAACCACAAATCAATTCTCAATAGATTTTTAAAAAGATGGATAAAGTTACCAAGTATTTCTTCTGACTATAACAGAATGAAGTTAAAATCAATAGCAAAAGGGAAACTGGAAAATTCCCCTAAACTGTTTGATTTAAACAACCAACAGGTCAAGAAAGAAATCAGAACAGAAATAAATACTTAGAGATAAGTGAAAAAATTTTTTTAAAGTTATCATTTGCATAATAATGAAAATACACAATGAAAACTTGTGGGATGTTGTAAAAACAGTACTAAGAGGGAATGCTCACGTTAAAATGGAAGAAATATATCAAATCAACAATCTAAATGTTTACCTCAAGGAATTAGAAAAGAGCAAACTAAACCCAATGACAGTTTAGGAATAAATAAAGATTAGGGCAGAGATAAATGAAATAGAAAAAGAATATAGGAAATCAATGAAACCAAAAGCTGATTCTTCTAAAAGCTTCACAAAGTGGACACACATTTAGCTAGAATGCTTAAGAAGACTATATTTGAATTTTGACAGGTTTTTCACTATTGTTTTGTTTGTTAAAAATTCCAGTCCAGGACCCCATATTGCATTAATTGACATGCTTCTTTGATCCTCTCCAATCTATGGTAGCTTCTCTATTTCCTTGTTTTTCCCCATTTGGACATTTTTGAAGAGCACTGGTCAGGTATCTTATAGAATGTCCCTCAGTTAAAGTTTCTCAGAAGTTTTCTATGACTAGATTGGATTTATGCCCTTTGGGGAAGAAAATCACAGAGGTGAAGTGTCCTGTTAGGGTCTATGACATGAACATGACATTATTCCTGGGTAGAAACAAACTAATGGCAGCCTTGAAATGTTTCTCTTTGTCTTAACAGTCTTTTTCACATTGTGGGAATAACAAATAAAAGCAGTTTTTACCATACTGTTGAACTATTCTGGAAGAATTAGGAGCCTAACAGTTTTTTTTTTTTTTTTTTTCTAAAATTCCCTTTGGGGGGTTATTGCGTCAGGATGCCCAAGCAGATAAGCAGCAAACCTTTGGTGATATTCAGTGTCTCTCAGGGCAGTCTCACAAGCAAAAATGAAAATAAGTTCTAAATAGTTGCCACAAAAATAATCTAGATGCAAAAGAGAGCAGGATCCAGCAGAAAGCTAAGATTAAGTCAAAAGTGCCAGAAAAACTGGTTAGTTCACAATCATAAGAACAAAGGTGACTGAGAATGAGAAATGGCTATATCCTTGCCTATGTTACTAATCAGTTAAATATTGTATTATATCTCACCCAAGACAGATGAGTCATGGTGGAGAGTTCTGATAAAACCTGGTCCACTGGAGAAGGGAATGGCAAACCGCTTCAGCATTCTTGCCTTGAGAACCCCATGAACTGTATGTAAAGGCAAAAAGATATAACACTGAAAGATGAACTCCCCAGGTCAGTAGGTGTCCAATATGCTACAGGAGAAGAGCAGAGAAATAGCTCCAGAAGGAATGAAGAGCCTGAGCCAAAGCAGAAACAATGCCCAGTTGTGGATGTGTCTGGTGGTGAAAGCAAAGTACGATGTTGTTAAGAACAATATTGTGTAGGAACCTGGAATGTTAGGTCCATGAATCAAAGTAAATTGGAAATGGTCAAACAGGAGACAGCTAGAGTGAACATTGACATTTTAGGAATCAGTGAACTAAAATGGACTGGAATGGGTGAATTTAATTCAGATGACCATTATATCTGCTACTGTGGGCAAGAATCCCTTAGAAGAAATGGAGTAGCCATCATAGTAAACAAGAGTCCGAAATGCAGTACTTGGATGCAATCTCAAAAATGACAGAATGATCTCTTTTACCAAGGCAAACCATTCAATATCACAGTAATCCAAGTCTATGCCCCAACCACTAATGCTAAAGAAGCTAAAGTTAGTTCTGTGAAGACCTACAAGATCTTCTAGAACTAACACCAAAAAAAGATATCCTTTTCATCATAGGGGACCGGAATATAAAAATAGGAAGTCAAGAGATACTTGGAGTAACAGGCAAGTTTGGCCTTGGAGCACAAAATGAAGCAAGCAAAGGCTAACAGAGTTTTGCCAAGAGAATGCATTGATCATAGCAAACACCGTCTTCCAACAACAAATGAGATGACTCTACACATGGACATCACCAGATGTTTAATAATGAAATCAGATTGATTATATTCTTTGTAGCTGACGATGAAGAAGCTCCCTGCAGTCAGCAAAAATAAGACCCTGGGCTGACTACGGTTAGGATTATCAGCTCCTTATTACAAGATTCAGACTTAAATCAAGTAGGGAAAACCACTAGGTCATTCAGGTATGACCTAAATAAAATCCCTTAAGATTATACAGTAGTGATCCCAGGAGAGCTGAAGCTTCTGAGTGAGTGGAGGGCAAGAGGACTGGAGATGCCCAGGAGGACAGGTCTTCCAGCAGCCTGAGCAGAAGCCAGGATCCAGATGTCCGCCCAAGAACCCAGGAAGGCTCCTTCTGCCTCTCTAACCTCATCTCTCAACCCACATCGGGGCACAGGTGAAGGGACGTGTGCTGCTTGCTTTAAAAATTTTACAGACCCGAGGCTGGTGGGGCACCCCTTGGGCAGATCTATGAATGGTCAAAGCCTGGGTGCTTGTTATAGGCGGTGGGGACCAGACGCGGACCTGGAGCGGAGTTGCCAGAGGTTCGGAAGTTACTCTTGTGACCCCCAGAAGTGGATCACTCCGCCGGGATGAAACAAGTTAGAGTGACACTTGGGGATGGGGGAGGGGAGATGGAAATGATTTCTAGGTGATCTCATCAAATCCAGGATTTCACCCTGGAGGTACTTCTGATTCTGTTTACAGCCAAGAGATGAAATATACAGAACTCAGCGGCTGATTGGATCCTGGGTTGACACCTCTGATGTGTTTAAGGACCTGGATTACAAACGCTAAACCTTTTGCGTTCAAATCTAGAACACGTGACTGACTCTCGGTGTGACCTCGGGCAACCTGTTTAACCTCTCTGAGCCTGGCTTTCTGTATCCTATGCTGACAGTTCTAAATTCCACCTCATAGGATTGTGGTAAGGATTAAATAGGCGAACCCCACACTGTTTGAACACCTGGCAAAAGACTAAAAATGTCCCGAAGTGCCTTGTGGGTAACCTAATCAGGTAGGTTTTCTGAGAGGTCGAGAATTCCCAGGTGATTGGTTTCTGAGGGTTGGGATCCGCCCAGTAGGGCGTGGCCAACCAAAGAAAGCTGGTCTGGGACCCCAGTACATCCCTCTCAGGCTCTATAAAAGGCCAGGTGCTCCAGCCAGCAGCCCAGTCCCGGCAACTCTCGACCTACTACACTGAGGTCCCTGAGCACATGATGGATGCATTGATGGTGAGTCTGCACCTGCTAAACAGAGGGTACAAATTCTGTGTGCTGGGGTGGAAGGTCAGCAGCTCCTAGGTGGACAGTCATGAGTCCTAGCAGGGGACTAGGACTTGGGGAAGAGGAACTCAAATATTCTAAATGGTTCATTTCTTTGGGGCCTTGTTGACTGGCAACCCTGCATGCATGCACTGCCCAGAGGGTGCCCTGGTCCAGACAGTCCCGTTCCTGCAGAGGGGACAGTGTTGAGACTTGTCCAGTTGGCTCTGGTTCCCAAAGGCCCCTTGAAGGCAAGGCTGCCACTTGCATGGTCCCCAGAGTCCCCAGATCACTGCGAGGTACAGGGTGGCTGCAACCTCTGTGGAAAGGGTAGAAGGATGTGCAAAATGCGTGGCCATGTGTGGAGGGGCCTGGGTGAGTTCTGGTAGAAACTGGACAATCTAGAGGGCACTGATTTCTCCTTTCCTTGAAAAAAGATTATATTTGTCTACCCAGATTTATTGAGGTATAACTGACAAATCAGATGACACCACCCTTATGGCAGAAAGAGAAGAGGAATTAAAGAACCTCTTGATGAAAGTCAAAGAGGAGAGTGAAAAAGTTGGCTTAAAGCTCAATAGAAAACTAAGATGACAGCATCTGGTCCCATCACTTCATGGGAAATAGATGGGGAAATAGTGGAAAGAGTAGCTGACTATTTTTTTTTTTTGAGCTGCAGGTGGTGACTGCAGCCATGAAATTAAAAGACACTTACTCCTTGGAAGGAAAGTTATGAGCAACCTAGACAGCATATTAAAAAGTAGAGACATTACTTTGCCAACAAAGGTCCATCTAGTCAAGGCTATGGTTTTTCCAGTAGTCATGTATGGATGTGAGAGTTGGACTATAAAGAAAGCTGAACTCTGAAGAATTGATGCTTTTGAACTATGGTGTTGGAGGACTCTTGAGAGTCCCTTGGACTGCAAGGGGATCCAACCAGTCAGTCCATCCTAAAGGAGATCAGTCCTGGGTGTTCATTGGAAGGACTGATGTTGAGGCTGAAACTCCAATATTTTGGCCACCTGGTGCAAAGAGCTGACTCATTTGAAAAGACTGATGCTGGGCAAGATTGAGGGCAGGAGGAGAAGGGGACAACAGAGGATGATGTGGTTGGATGGCATCACTGACTCAATGGACATGAGCTTGGGTGAACTCCGGGAGTTGGTGATGACCAGGGAGGCCTGGCATGCTGTGGTTCAGGGGGTTGCAAAGAGTCGGACACGACTGAGCGACTGAATTGAACTGAACTGAACTGACAAACTCCCATAGTTTTAAAATGTACAACATGCTGATTTGATGTATGTATATGTTGTGAAATGATAACCACACTCAAAGTGGTTAACACAATCATCACCTGATGTGGTTACCTTTCTGATTTGGGTGATAATGCTCCAGATTCACTCTCTTAGCAAATCTCTAGTATCCAATAGAGTGTGATTAACTATCATCACTGGGCTGTACCTTAGATCCTCAGAACTTATTTGTCTTATGACTTGTGTGCTCTCTGACCAATATCTCCCATTTCCCCGACCCTCAGCCTTTAGCAACCACCGCTCTTCTCTCCGATCCTATGCATGTAAAGTCGCTTCAGTTGCATCTGACTCTTTGGGACCCTATGGACTGGAGCCTGCCAGACTCCTCTGTCCATGGGATTCTCCAGGCAAGAATATTGGAGTGGGTTGCTATGCCCACCTCCAGGGTATCTTCTCTACCCAGGGATTGAACCCGCATCTCTTATGTCTCCTACATTGGCAGGCTGGTTCTTTACCACTAGCGCCACTTGGGACGCCCTTTTCTTATTTTACATATAAGTAACCATGAAGTTCATGTTCTTCTCTGACATTTCGTAGAATTATGCCTTCTAGGTTCATCCATGTTGTCACAAATGTCAGGATTTCCTTCTTTTTGATGGCGAATAATGTTCTGTAATATATATACAGGCTTTCTCTGTTCTCAGAAAGTGGCACATTCCTGTGAAAACATGTGTAAGCTGAAATGGCATACAGCAATGAGGCAGTTAGTTTAGGACACTTCTTGCACAAGGATTAACAAAACAAATGGAAATAAAGCACAGATGGCCATAGACAGAGTTCAATGCTGTGCTGCTAAGGAGATGCTGAGTGTACTTCCCCAGGGAGGGGCTGCCATTCTACTCAAGTTCACTGCAAAACAAATGATGAGCACTATTTTCATTTTCATCCCTTTTAGTAAAAGCAAAAATTCTTTCTTGGGTTTTTCTTTCTTTTTTTTTTTAGATTATTGAAAACAGGTACTAATGTTGGTTTTCCACAAAAGCAAAATGGCATAAAATAAACTTTCCAAAATCTCTGGATACCTAAAGAACACATTTTCTTTATCATTCATCCTGTGGACAGACACTTGTTCCCATATCCTGGCTACTGTGACTAGGGCTGCAATGAACCTCTAAGCGTAATCTCTTTCCAGATATAAATTTCATTTCAACATCCAGCAGTGGAATACTGAATCATATAGTAGTTCAGGACTTCCCTGGTGGCTCAGACGGTAAAGCGTCTGTCTACAATGCGGGAGACCCAAGTTCAATCCCTGGGTTGGGAAGATCTCCTGGAGAAGGAAATGGCAACCCACCCCAGTATTCTTGCCTGGAAAATCCCATGGATGGAGAAGCCTGGTAGGCTACAGTCCATGGGGTCCCAAAGAATCAGACACAACTGAGAGACTTCATTTTCATTGTAGTTCTAGTATTAAATTTTTCAGAAAATTCCATACTGCTTTCCACAACAGCTGCAAAAATTTGTATTCCCAGCAGCAGTGTACGAAGACTCCTTTTTTTCCCACATCCTGCCCCAAATTTATATCTTCTCTTTTTGTTAATATAGCTATTCTAACAGGTATGAGGTGCTATCTCACTGTGGATTCTGTTTGCATTACTCTGATGATTAGTGATGATCAGCATTTTTTTATGTGCCTATTGACTGTGTATCTCTTTGCAAAAATGTCTATGAAGGTCCTTTGTCCATTTATAAAAACAAGTCAGATTGTTTTTTTGCTATGGAGTGGTATGGTTTCGGTATGTATTTAGATCTGAACCCCTTCTCAGGTAAATGGCTTGCAAAGGTTTTCTCCCAGCCACAGGCTGTTTTTTCACTTTGTTCATTGCTTCCTTTACTGTGCAGAAGCTTTCAGTTTGATGGAGTCCTGATTGTTTATTTTGGCTTTTGTTTCCCATGCTTCTGGTGTCAGGTCCAAAGTAATCAATGCCAAGACCAATGTCAAGGAGACTTATGTCTGTTTCTAGAAACTTCATGGTTTCAAGTTTTATATTTAATTCTTTGGTCTGTTTCAAGTTAAATTTTTGTAAGTTCTATAAGATAGGTATCCAGTTTCATTCTAAAGCCTGTGTGAATCTAGTTTTGCCAAGACCCTTTATTTCAGTGACTATCTTTTTTGCATTGTGTCTTGGTACCCCGGTCAAAGATGAGTCGATCTACATGCATAGGTTTATTTCTGACTCTCTATTCTGCTTCATTCATCTATGTGTCTGTTTTTCAGCCAGCACCATATTGTTTAAATTACTATAGCTTTATACTATAAGTTTGAAATCAGGAAGTGCTATGCCTCCAGCTTTTTTATTTTCTTTCTCAAATTGCTTTTGTAATTCCTATCTTTGATGGGTTGAGTTGAACTTCAGAATTGGTTTTTTTTTTTTTTCTATTTTGTGAAAAAGGCCATTGGAATTTTGATAGGAATCCCTTTGATTGTAGATCAACTTGGGTAATGTGGACATTTTAACAATATTAAATTTTTTTGGTCTAAGAAGAGGGGATATCTTTCCACTTCTTTGTGTCTTCTTCAATTTCATCACCATCTTATAATTTTCACTGTACAGATTTTTCACCTCTAAGGCTAAGTTTATCCCTAAGTATCTTATTGTTTTGAGGCCATTGTAAGGGGGATTTTTTTTTTTTAAACATCTCTTTCTGAGAGTTGCTTGTGTATAGAAGCACTACCAATTCTTGTAGGTTGAGTTTGTATCCTGTGAGTTTTAATAAGGGCATTTATCATTATACACTTCTCTTCTAGAACTGCTACTGATGCTCTCATTGGTTTTGGTATATTTCCATTTCCATTTGTCTCAAAATGTATTCTTTTCTTTTGATCTTTCCTTTGATACAATGGCTGCTCGGGAGTGTTTAATTTCCACACATTCATGAATTTTCCAATCTTTCTGTTTTTTTGATCTCTACTTTTTTACCATTTTGGTAAGAAAAGATACTGGGTATGATCTTAGTCTTAAAAAATTTTAAGCCTGTTTTTGTTCTGTGAAATTTGATCATGATCTATCTTGGAGACTGTTCTTCATGTAGCTGAGAAGAATGTGTATCAGGTGCTGCTGGATTGAATGTAGTGGGTATGACTGTTAGGTCCATAGGCGCTAACAGGCAGTTCAAGTCCAACATTTCTATATTGATCTTCTGTCTGGATGATCCATCTATTGTTGAAAGCGGAGAGTGAAGTCCCTGACTACTGTTGTGTCATTGTCTATTTCTGGCCTCAGAACTGTAGTATTGTTTAACACATTTATGTGTTCTTATGTTGAGTGCATTAATTTACAGTTTTTATATCTCTTGATTAATTGTTCCCCTTCATTATGTACTGACCTTCTTTGTCTCATGCAACAGCTTTGATTAGCGAGTTTTTCTGAGGTAGTATAGCTACCTTGGTTTTTGGTTTCCATTTCCAAGGAATATATTTTGTCTTCATTTCATTTTCAGCCTATATGGGTCCTGAAACTGTAAACATCAAAATTATGTTAGAATTTATTAAACTCTGTAAGGCAATATCTCTGCAGGGGATGGTAGGGTATTCATGCATTTATCGAGTTTCCCACCTCCACTGATAGACAGGGGTAGCATAGGAAGAGTTTTTGTTTCAGAAATACTACTCTGACTGTCTTTGGAGGATACACAAGATTAAGTCAACCTCTGGTTCACAGAGGACAATTAAGAGGCAATTTCAGGCTTTTACTTGGGCCACCTGATGCGAAGAGCTGACTCATTTGAAAAGACCCTGATGCTGGGAAAGATTGAGGGCAGGAGGAGAAGGGGAGGACAGAGGATGAGATGATTGGATGGCATCACCAACCCAATGGACATGAGTTTGGGTAGGCTCCGGGAGTTGGTGATGAACAGGGAGGCCTGGCATGCTGCAGTTCATGGGGTTGCAAAGAGTTCATGGGGTTACTGAGCGACTGAACTGAATTGAACTGAGGCAAGCAATGATGGTGGGCTAGACTAGAATTAAGTCATCAGAGATGGAGACACATGGTGTGTGGAATTGGGATTTCAGCTACGTAGAGAACATGAACTTCCAACTTTTTTTTTTTTTTTGCAGGATTTCACAACTGAAGACCAAGTTCATTGGTCAGGCAATAGCAAAGAGGCTTCAAGAGACTCTTACCTTGAAGCAATAGAAGAACTTGAGGAATTTTTACAGAAACTTGATGAGACATATGGGACAAGAAGCCCAGCTGCACCTGAGCCAAAACTCTATGTACCTCTGACTGCCCATGAAGAGGACAGCCAAAAGGAATCCATGCAGAACCAGGTGATGAATCTTTTGACCCACAATGATGATTTATGCGTGTTTGAACATCCCTGGGACACTTTTTCTGCAGAACTAACATCAACCCATGCTAAAGCCCTTGATTTGCCCCCTGGAAACCTAAGTGAAGCCTTTTTTTTTTAAAACCCCAAAGTGAACTCTTTTGATAAGAGTAAACCCAAGTAACACCCTAGATGACAGATGTCATTGACACCTCAAACACATTATGAGACTTTAGAGGCTGGATGGGGACCTAGAACTGGGAGGGGAAATCAGAAGTTCTTCATTGGACCCCTTTTCTCTGAAGTCCACCCAACTAGTTCTGTCAGACCCTTCTAAGGAAGAAGTAGAGTTCTCTAGTCTTGAGGAGCTTTCAATCCAGTGATACAGGAAGGGGAGTAGACAGGCAAAACACTATTTTAAGAAAGGAAATGAGGGAAGAGGGAGTGAGTCCCCTGCACTGGCAGGTGGAGTCTTAACCAGTGGACCGCCAGGCAAGTCCTGAATTCTTCTTTAATAGGGTTTAAGCACGGCTCCTGTTTCTGGGGTCATTGTGTGAATCAAATGAGATAATGTGTTTGGACTTCCATTCATTTAACCAAATCTCCAGTAGGATGTCTGGGAGATGGGGCATCTTTGGGAAAGTCTCTCTGGGGATTGGAGGGGAAGAAATACAGAGAGAGTGGATTAAGTGTTATACTCTTATGTGTTTAATAAGCTACAAGGATATAGTGTACAAAACAGACAGCCAATATTTTATGATTACTAAAACTGGGTATAACTTTTAACTACTGTGAATCACTATATTGTACCCCTGCCTGTAACATATATCATCACCCACCAAGTATACATCAATTTAAAAAAGAGTCTGTGGGGCAAAGTCTCTGCAGGGGATGGTGGAGCACTCATGCATTCATCCAGAGGCCCACCTCCACTGACAGATAAGTGTAGCATAGGAACAGTTCTCATTTTAGAAATATTACTATGTGTGGAGGACATATGAGCTAGAGTCAACTCCAAATTCATAGAGGCCAATTAAGATGCAATTACAGACTTTGGGCAACATATGTTGGTGGGCTTGACTAGGATTGTATCAGCAGGAATGGAGAAGAAGGGAGTGTAGAACTGGGGTTAGATCTGGGTACGACCCATGAACTTTTTTGCAGGATCCTACAGTTGAAGATCTAGTTCAGGTATCAGGCAACAGCAAAGAGGTGTCGAGGTACTCCTATCTTCAGACAGTTGAGGAAATTAAGGCATTTCTACAGGAAGCCAATGAGACACATAAGGCAAGGACCCCAGCTGCCCCAGAGCTAGAGCTTTGTGCATCTCCAACTGCGCATGAGGAAGATGGCCAAAAGGAGTCCATGCAGAACCAGGTAATGAATCCTTTGATGATTTATGCATGTTTTAACATTCCTGGGATAATTCTTAACCAGAACTAAGATCAACCCATGTGAACTCTTGATTTGCTCCCTGGAAACCTGAGACATTTTTTTGACCCCTCGGGGAACTGCTTTGATGAGAGTAAATCCAAGTAACATGCCAGATAACAGATGTCGTTGACATACCAAATACATCCTGAGACTTTAGAGGCTGGATGGGGACCTAGAGCTGGGAGGGGAAATCAGAAGTCCTTCATTTGGTCCCTTTACTCTGATGTACGTCCAGCTGGATCTGTCAGACCCTTCTAAGGAAAAAGTAGAGTCCTCCAGCCTTGAGGAACTTTCAGTTCAGTGATGAGGGAAGGGGAGCAGACAGGCATGACACTATTTCAAGAGTAAAAACGGGAAGAAAGGAAGTGCCAGAGTAAGACATCATTAGAAGTTGACTTTCAATGAGGCCTTCATCTCAGAGAATCTGTGGGTTTTGCTGGTCCTTCTGGTGGAGTGTCTCCACAATGACATTGGCCTCATGAAAGTACCCATTTCCACACCTCCAAATGACAGTGGCCTCTGCTACACTGTGGCTTGGAAAATTCCACTTCTTTCGGAGTATGATTGTAGATAACAAATGTAAGGCCATCTATTACTTCTATGGATTTTGCGTAGAAGACTTCAGAGTGTCCTCAGTCTACCGTATTCAATGGCTGTATAGTCATAAGTTTTGAATATAACTTGGAAAGAATTATGATATCTGTCTCTCTGTTCTGAGAGTCAGGACAAGGCAGAGTGTCCAGGGTTTGGTGGCAGGATGGGAATGGAGATCATATTTGATAAGACAGGTTATAGTCACTGAGACAGTTTGCTGAGAGAGGTAGGCTGAACTTGAGACACGGCAGGGATATGGCAAAACTGAGCAGACTTGTCTGACTAGAGTGTGACAAGAGCTACAGAGACACACAGGGTGAAAAATGCGAGGCTACTGACATCATGGCTTTTGGCAGTCAGTTGTAAACTTTCTACCAGATGTATAGGAATCTAGAAGCTACTAAGGATGGCTACTGAGAAGAGAAGCATGGCGTTTGGGCATGTGCACATTAAGCCTCTGCCTGTAGAGTAGCTTCTTCCTGGATTGGTTTCTGGAAGCTGATGCTTTCCAGGATAGTTCTCAAGAAGTTGCAATGCCAGGGGGAATCCCAGGAATATTCAGGGGGTATTTTCCACAGTGGTTCAGGTCTGTGAGCACCCAGAGCAAGATAGGTCCAATTCAAATTAAGTCATTTCATCTCTTCGAACTTCTGTGAGTTCTTTAATAGGGTTTTATCATGGCTCCTCTTTCTAGGGTAATAATGTCAATAAAATGAGATAATGTGGTTGGAAGTTCATTAATCTAACCAAATGTCCAGTAGGACATCTGGGAGATGGGGCAGCTTTGGAAAAGTCTCTGCATGGAAACTGGGACAATATAGAGATAGTGGATTAAGAGATACAAACTATTATGTATACAATAAGCTACAAGGATGTATTGTACAAAACAAGGAATATAGCTGATATTTTATATAAACTAAAATTTGAGCTTCACCTTTAACTACTGTGAATCACTGTAGTGTACACCTGTGACATATAATATGGTACATCAAGGGTACATCAATTTTTAAGAAGTCTGTACAACAGGATCTCTGCAGGGAATAGTGGGGTGTTTGCATTCATCTAGATTCCCAACTCCACCAATAGATAGGAGGTGCAAAGGAAGTGTTTTCATTTTAGAAATATTACTCTATGTGTGTGTGGGGGCACACAGGGTGGCATCAACTCCAGATTCACAGATGCCAATTAAGAGGCAATTGTAAGCTTTCAGCTAAGCAGTGATAGTGGATGTATGGAATCAGAATTTGAACTGGATAGGGTATCTGAACTTTAACTTTTTTGCAGAAACCCACGGCTGAAGATCTAGTTCAGTTACCAGGCACCAGCAAAGAGGCTTCCATGACTTCTTTCTTTGTGACACTTGAGGACATTGAGGAGTTTCTTCAGGAGATCAATGAGATACATGAGGCAAAAACCCCAGCTGCACCAGAGTCAGAGCTCTGTGTACCTCTGACTGCCCATGATGAGGTCAGCCAAATGGAGTCCATGCAGAGCCAGGTAATGAATCTTTTGAGGCCCACAATGAAGATTTATGCATGTTCTCACATCTGGACAGTTCTTGTCCAGAACTAATCACAACCCATGTTAAAACCTTGATTTGCCTCCTTGAAAACCTAAAGTGACTTTCTTTTTGACCCCAAGGTGACCTCTTTTGATAAGAGAAACCCAACAGGAGCGTCCCAGTTGATGGATATCACTGACACCCCAATGACATTTATCACTGATTGTCAAGTAACAGCTGTTAATGCCAACAAGAGGACAATCCCCAATGAGGGTAGTGAGGTGAAGACCCTCAATGATGACCAGAGCCTGTGTGGAGGCCAGATGACCATCAGTGGGGATCAGACCCTCTATGGGGGTCAGATGAAGAGCCCCACTGTATGCCAGAGTCTCAGTGGAACCCAGATGACCTTCACTGCAGACAAGACCATCTATGGGAATCAGATGAAGACCATGGATGAATACCAGATCCTCAGGGTAGAAAAGATGACCTTCAGTGGGGACCAGACTCTCTATGGGGATCAGATGAAGACAGTCAATGATGACACTCTCCATGGAGTACATATAATGCCACAATCCTCATCATCATTGTCATATCCTAGAATTCTGGATGTTTCCAGTTCTCATTTGACCCAAGGACAACCTGCAGAAATGCAGAAGTGGAATCCTGAGATTCAGAGGTGTCCATTGCAGAAGAGGCCTGACATTTTGAGGCCCTACATCTGCACCTATAACTGTGGGAAAGCGTATGCCAAATCTTCCCATCTGCGAATCCACGAGCGTGTGCACACAGGTGAGTAAAGACTGCAGGATGGGGGTGTCAGGAAAATAACTAAAGGCCTCTGCCTTTACAAAACATTGGGATCATTTGAGATCACTGCCACCTCCCTCTAAGTCTGGGACTCAGAAGACTCTAGAGAAGGTTGGCCGATCTGAAAGTGTATAAAAAGCAGTCCCTAGAAGAGACTCTAGTTCTGCTCCAGAGGCAACCTGGCTGCAGCGTTTTGTGGTGTTGACTGCCTGGGATGATGGAAGAAGTGGAGGGCTTTGTTTGACCTCTTAGGATGGTCCTGACCCTACCTCTTCTGGAACTGTCTCTTTATAGACTCCCATAGTCCCAATAGATAACCCCACTCAACCTTCTCTACCCACCACTACCTTCCTGCTTTCCCTCTTACTTTTCTTTTTCTTTTCCTCTTCCTCCTTCAGCCCTCTTGCCTATCCTGCCCTCCTCTTCCTTTCCTGTACACACCTTCCAGTCCTGTCTTCTGTCTCTCTGTCCCACTCCAACATGCCCAATATTTTTCTTCTCCATTGCAACTTCCCTGTCCCATTCTACCTTGAATCATGACAAGTCTCCCTTTCTTTCTCGGTTCCAGGAGAGAAGCCCTATAAATGTAACGTGAATGGATGCACATGGGCATTCTCCCGTTCGGATGAGCTCAGCAGACACAAGAAAAGGCACACCAGGGAGCGGCCATACCTGTGTACTATATGCGACAAAGACTTTGCCAGATCTGATCACTTAAAGCAACATCAGAGAGTCCACAGATGAATTTCTCCCATGATGACAAACCCAGCAGCCTTTGAGGAAATGACTTGAACTGAAAGATTCTCCCTGCTAAGACTTTGCTTGGCAACTTGCACCATGCCAGCATATAGTAGATGCTTAATATTAGTTGTAAATTTTTTAAGTTTTCATTTATTTTTTTCTGAAACATAAAGAATATGTGTATGCATTTCAGTAGAATCAGAAGCATGCTGCATTCAATTTCCTGTACCTAGCGAATGTTTCCATCAGTGTGCTATGAATCCTTGTAGATCACTATCTGTGTATTTACTTCTATTTGTACATGTAAAAATATTTATATGTAGAGAATTGTATTCATAGTTCAAATGTGTAAAGAATGTAGCATTTTATATCTGAGCTCATGTTTTTTTGAAAGTCCATTTCTATGGAGTTAAGAGGAGGGGGACACTTGGTCACTTCAGTGTCAAGTGGTCTCAGATTAAATGAAACTCATTTGGATGAATTGAATCTATTAAAAAATGAAACCTCCTGTCTCAACTGTTTTTCTCTCAGGCAAAGCGTTTTCTTTTTCACCTCTGCCTTCTCCAAATGCTATCAGGACACAGGGGTGGTGGTGCTGGTGTCAAGTGCTGGCTGCCAGGGAAAGAATGTTTTCTTTCTTAATGTGGTCCAGTGATTAAGAATTTGCTTGCAGTGCTGGAACACCAGTTCAATCCATGGTCTGGGAAGATCCCACAGTCCACGAAGCAACTAAACTCACATGCCACAACTAGAGAGTCTATATGAAGCAGCAGAAGATCCTACATGATGAAATGAAGATTCCATGTGCTACTACTGAGATCCCGTGAAGCCAAAGAAATATTTTAAAAAAATAAAGTAGGTAAACAGCAAGGACTTACTGTATAGCACAGGGAAGCATATTCAATACCTTCTAATAACCTACAATGGAAAATAATCTGAAAAGGAATACATACAGATATACATATAGATATCTGAATCATGTTGCTGTAGACCAGAAGTGAACACATTGTAAGTCAACTTTCAATTTTTAAAAAAAGATCAAGAAGTGCAATTCTCCCCTACATCCCTGTTGAACCTTGGCCTAGGGCTTCCAATCCCTTGTGGCGACAGAGGGACATTAGCATGGCTCATAATCTTGTTAATTTTTTTTTTGAACATCAGGAGGTCCAGGTAAGAGTGGCAGTACCCTTCACCTCCCAGCTCCACAGGAGCCCCCACATCAGGTGACCCATGGCCAACACTTGGTCTGGATTTCCTTGGCCTAGATCAGTCTCCTTTGAGACTGCCAGCCAAGAATCAAGTTCAAGAGAACTCTCTGGGGAGAGTTCTTAGCCTAGGTTGCCCAGGAGAGGGCGCCAGGTCATTACTCTAATACCTGCGCTCTCCATCAATCTTCGCTATTTTGCCAGTGGCCACATTTTCCACATCTAGGAATCTGTCAGTTAAGACTTGAACTATGTCTTGGACCAACTGCCCAGAGCCAACTCAAACAGCATCTACAAACCTGGAAATCTGAATCTGGCTAAGTCTTACCACCTACTGTCCTCAATGCCTTATTGTTGGTTCCCTTAGGACCACAAGGATGGCGGCAGGGAGGCTCTAGCCTCAGCAAGTGTAGTCGAAAGGAGGAATTTGTCATGGGTGGATCAAACCTGAGGGAATCAAATAGCAACTAGAAGAAGGAGGTCTCAGATGGTTGTGCCCTCTCTTCTTCATCTTCCTCATCCTTCTCAGCCAAAGTGGACACTGTCAGGGCACTCTGAAAGAGGTGTCTGTAGTAGTGCACCCCAAAACAGACTCTCCATCACACAGTTTATTTATTTGTCTGGGCTGCAAGGTATGAGGGGTTTTAACTCCCCAACCAGAGATCAAACCTGTACTCTCTATGGTGGAAGCGAGGAACCCTAACCACTGGACAGTCAGGGAAATCCCTCCAGCACAAAGTTTAACAAGATGATGTTTGCCATGGTGACGGCAGACTAACCAAGTCTCTAGGTCTCTTTGAGCTACTGAAGAAAGTGACCCTGGAGGAGTCTATACTCTTTGACAGAAAGCATGAATCTCAATTTTTGTTTTTTTGGCAATCCACTCCAGTATTCTTGCCTGGGAAATTCCACGGACCGAGAAGCCTGGTGATTCATGTGGTGGCAAAAGAGTCGGACATGACTGAGCACACGCCTGCACATAGTACTATATGAGAATCAATAACACACTGGATTGCAAGGCTTATCTTAGCACCAGAGACCTGATCGGATTCTACAACAGTTCCTGCACAATGGGAGGTGTCTCTGACAGTGGTTGGTCCCGCTGCTACAGAACCATGAGCAGTGGCCAGGGAGTTGCTTCGCTAGCTTTCCCAGAGCCCTTCTGTCAGATTGCTAATTTGACCCACAGGGAAACTCAGCTAGGGAGTTCAAGACAAAAGTTCCTCTCAGAACTAAAAGTTGTTACACCTCATTCACTAGTGCTCCCAAGGCCCACTTGCAGAGCTGTGGAAATGCCCAAGGAACCCTCAGGCTTTTTATTCTTTCAGAAAGGCTTAGGGCTCAGTGGGGCACCCTGCCAGCTCCATCAATCTGTTGAGTTGCCAGGTGCCAAGATGGTTAATTAAGACAGCAAGTCAAACTGCAGGTAAAAGTCAAATATCTACTCACTTCCTGTGACACTGAAAGTAAGAGGTGAAACAAAGAGGTGCTGGCTCCCTGATGCTCCATTTTCCAAAATGGAAAATGTTTTCACCCATTGGAATGTGGGGAAAGCATTCTGGCATATGCAACATTTGGCCTGAAATTTTTGTGGCTACAGCAGCCTGGCTTTTGGCCAAACATCCATTGTACATCTGCTTTAAGTCTAGAAGAACAGCATGCATTGTCTAGAAGTGAAAAGAATGTCCTGAGAATAAGGATCAGTGCCACCCTTTCCATGACACCAATGCTAGTACTCCCTGGAAGATTCCCTTCTCAGGTGCCAAGGCCACACTGACTCACTGCATGCTAGTTCCTTTCTTTTGAGAACTTGAAGGAATATACTCATGTCGTGTTTGATGTATGCTCTTGTTCTGAGAAGATATAAAACTGTGCTGAATGCCACCCACCCATCTCCAGAGCACTTTTTTCTTGGTGGAGACTACACTCCCAAGCTAGTCCTCAGTATGGCTAGAATCACACTCTCTTTTATTCCTTATTATAGACTGTTTATTGACTATTTGGGTTCACACCCTCTCAGAACAGCACCAGGCAAGGGTCAGATAATGCAGGCCGATTGGAATGATGTCACTGCCAAAGATCCACAAACAAACACTTCCTGTCTTTTCATGCAGTTGGGGAGTCTGGGGAGGAAGGGGAGGAAGGGCTAAGACTAGAAAAGTACTGAGTCATAGTGAAGAAGAATGCTTCACCAGGGCCCGGTAAGAAGGCCTCTGGATGGAGGTGAGCAGGCAAGAAACACAACCATGCATCAGCTTGTCTGCTCCAAGGGACCCTGGGTCCTTCATCTCCCTTCAAAAACTGCAATGCCCTGCTGTGTACCATATCTGGTATGGGGAGGGCAGCTTCCCCCAGGAGACCAGCCAGGCACAGTTTTAGGGTCAGCCCTGAAAAAAAAAATCACACATAGGGTTTGGACTGGAGTTAGAATCCTTACCCAATTTAAGAACTGGAATATTATTGACACTTTTGTATCTACTCATGTGCTTCTCCCATCCAACTCTCTATCATCTAGGATTAACTACTACTCTGAATTTTGCATATATAAATTCCCTTGATTTTCCTTATATTGATTTATCACAAATGTATGTATTAAAAAAATGTATAGCTTTTTGGGGCATTTCCCTGGCTGTTCAGTGGTTAATACTCTGTGCCTCCACTACAGGGGCCATGAATTCGATCCCTGATCAGGGAACTGAGATTCTGAATGCCAAGAGGAAAGGCCCCACTCCCCCATAAAATCTTCAATAACAACTGCCAAGGAAAATTATCAACTCACTGGGGTGGGAAGGAGACCAGAGATATGAGAGTGCATTTGGATCTTATGTCAGTTGAAACCACCACAGAGAGAAAAGATAATACAGCCATCCCTCATTATCCAAATTTAATCTGCTAGACAATGAATTCTAGACATTAACCTAAATATGAAAAACAGTAACACACTCCCACCCCATTAAAAATCTCAGCTACTTTCCTCACATTTCACTAAAACTTACATAATAACCTACTAAGAATTTCATATTATATGAAGCATTAAAACCACCAATTCCATATTTATTTCTAATGTAATAAACTCATTAATAAACACAGTAGTATGCAGTAGGCAATGCATTTACTAACTGCATTTTCCTTTCACACCACAAAAAACATGCTCTGTGACTGCACCATTCTGAGTCCAATCAGGAGACAGTAAGCAGTGATTTACACGAGAAGTTTGATACACAGAATGAATAAACTGTAATAAAAGAGAAACTCTAAGATATAAAGGAACACTATATAGGACTCTGAGACTGAAAGAAGAGAAGCTTTCAGTTCAGTCGCTCAGTGTCTGATTCTTTGCGACCCCATGGACTGTAGCATGCCAGGCCTCCCCGTCCATCACCAACTCCCAGAGTTTACTCAAACTCAAGTCCATTGAGTCGGTGATGCCATCCAACCATCTTATCCTCTGTCGTCCCCTTTTCCTCCCACCTTCAATCTTTCCCAGCATCAGGGTCTTTTCAAATGAGTCAGTTCTTTGCATCAGGTGGCCAAAGTATTGGAGTTTTAGCTTCAACATTGGTCCTTCCAATGAGTATTCAGGACTGATTTCCTTTAGGATGGACTGGTTGGATCTCCTTGCAGCCCAAGGGTCTCTCAAGAGTCTTCTTCAACACCACAGTTCAAAACCATCAATTCTTCAGTGCTCAGCTTTCTTTATAGTCTAACTCTCACATCCATACATGACTACAGTCTTGACTAGATGGACCTTTGTTGGCAAAGTAATGTCTCTGCTTTTTAATATTCTGTCTAGGTTGG